AAATTAGACATCTAGCCAATAATGGGAAAAAGGCCAAGCACCATTGGAGAAGTAACACATGTGTTAACTATACAGGATGTATTGAGATATAACTTTTTTCTAACTAAAATAGAAAAAAGGGGGGTAGGGGGGGATATATACTCATAATTTATATTTGTCTAAAGCAAAATTACATTAAACAATATAAAAGTTTACAAACTAATACTCTTTTTTTCTGGATATCGCATTTTATACTTGAAAGGGTTAGCCAAATAACAGGTGCAATATAAGACTTTTAGCATGAGTATAGTTTAGTTAGTCAGAGGTGGTTTTCAAAAATGTAGTTTCTTGGTCCAAGTCTAGTGTTTTTCATTTTCTAAAAATGTGGTATGATGACAGTACTAAAAGTCTTGATAGATTTTCGCACATTGCTTTGAAACTAACACTGGGTTTGCAGAACTTATGGAGTTTCTTTAGATTTGCTTTATTTGATGGTGAGATATATCCTCTTGAGCTGATTTCAAAAGGGTGAACAGACACATCCCTAGTTGTTATATCTGTAATAAAATGTTCATACTTGTTCATCTTTTAAGAGTTGGCATTTTTGATATTTGTTTCCAATGGGACAGTAAGCTCAAAAATATCCATCTTTTCCTCCATTCTATCGATAATTACTAGGTCTGGGTTCTCTGCGGTTTCAAGGAGGTGTGAGGGAACAGTACCTCCCCCTGGATGGGTATGGGACTGGATGTCGGCATACATCAAAAAACGGTCAATATCAATTAATCCAGTGATATATTTAATAAGATTGTTGTGTCTTCAAGTATATCATTTTTAGTGCAACTTTGCAGCCATTCAAAATATGGTTTGTAGTTTCTTGTCTTCTACCTTGCAATTCAGCTCCTGCCTATAAACATAGTTTACAGAGATCTGATGCAGATTTTCCCCATGTAGAAGGTTAGTCTGTGTTGGCAGGGTGTCCAAACAGGAGTTGAGTAGGAATTTCAGTGTACCTTTCTTCAGATTGAACATGTAAGATTTCCAGATCATGTCAGATTTTTCAAGCATTGCCATGCAGAGAAAATGTCCTTTTTTTATGAGTGTTTCTGTATGTTCTCTCCAGAAATTTTCTGTATGTTCTCTCCAGAAAGTTTCTGTATGTTCTCTCCAGAAAGTTTCTGTATGTTCTCTCCAGAAATTTTTGTATGTTCTCTCCAGAAAGTTTCTGTATTTTCTCTCCAGAAAGTTTCTGTATATTCTCTCCAGAAAGTTTCTGTATGTTCTCTCCAGAAAGTTTCTGTATGTTCTCTCCAGAAAGTTTCTGTATGTTCTCTCCAGAAAGCTTCATTTTTAAAAGATACTTTTTCACTGACAGTTGTTTTCATTTTTTTATAGCATTGATGTTTGGAAGCTTTGTCATCTCACTCAGGCATTTCTGCTTGACCTTAGTTCTCTAATGTGGCTTGTTGAAACATTTTTTCTGCATAGCCTGTGATGGAATTTACGCGGAGCCAATTTTTTCCCTGTCTAACTTAGATTGTAAGGCAGAGTTAACTGTTTCATCACCCAGTATTCTTATCCTAGTGCATGCTTGCGTCAAAGTTGTTTTGTACAGGGTGGATATTGAAGTGATGTCAAGTCCAGGTTTCAAGGGTAGAGCAGCATTTGTTGCACAGGGTGGTAATCCAGTCCATTTTTTCACAAATTTATCAGTGAATGTATCTAGTTTCTTCAGATGACTTTGTGATATTGTATGAACAGTGAACAGAAATCGAATAGAAGGAATGAAATAATGTTTGTAGACAGGGGCGTACGAGGGCATTTGTGTAGGGGGGGCACAATTTGCGCAAAAAAAAATTTTTGCCCCCCCTTTGGCAACATTGTGCCCCCCCCCTTAAAAACTCCTTTTTTGAAAAAAATATTGATACCTCTTTCAACTATGTAAACTTAAATTTATGTAATTTTCTTAAGGGGGGGGGGGGATCAGACAATCAGACAATCCCTCTTAATACTGTGGTGTAAGCTTCAAGGGACAAAAAACATAGATGGAAACGTTTCTAAAAATATCTATATTTTCATAGAATTGATACATGTAAGAAATCTAGATGCTATTTACTTCAATGATAACTCTACTCAAAGTCTAATTAGAATCTATCTTACTCAGTCTCTAGCCAAAACTCAAGGCTCTCTATCCTCAGCCAAAACTCATGGCTCTATACACGTCCGTATTAAACAACGAATCCTATTGAACTAATTTATTTTATATACAGGTCAATGAAACTGACCGGGCTAGCCCGGCAGGGTCAACATACAGATAATTAAGATATGATAATTGAGATATATTACTAGCATGGATAACATAGATAACATTGCACATCGATAGGGAATTTATTACATACATATTGTATAGTAAATTATGTTATCAAATATATATTTACACTGAAGGCAGTATTGATTAAAGCTTTTTTAAATTTCTCCATCGTTTCTCAAGCAAGAAATGCGAGAGTAATTTTTGTAGAGAAACCACAAAAAATATTCAGTTTTTAAATTGGGAAACATGGATTTTTAATGCAATACTTGATCAGACAAAGCTTTGAAGGGTATTATTTATGAATCAAAATATATTTTAATTCTTTTCTTAATCTTTTACTTTGGGTGAGTGCAATGCAATGCAATGTAGAATGTAGATTGCCTGCAGAGGAAGATGTAATATTAAAAGAACACCCCCCAAGAGCCCCCCTAAGAGGGGGCACACATAGGGGGGCCGGGGGGCTCCCCCCCCCCTCGTATGCCCCTGTTTGTAGATCCAGACTTTATATTCATCCCGGATAAGAAGTGCATTTATATTTATTAGTTTTGTTTCCAATTCACTCTTGATGTAATCGAACGCATCACTAAGTTTTCTAGCAGGAAATAGAAGTTTGCCAAGGAATTTCTGCTTTTCTTTAAATATATTTACAAATTAATATCAAGTTACCGAGATTTCATTCTTCATTTAAATTTTGTTGACTTGAAATTCAGAAAAGTTGAAGAAGTCAGTAGTTTATCTAGTCTGGGTTTTCACGGGAGGAAGAAGTTTGCATTGCATTGGGTTCAAGAGTTGGTTTTGTTCAGAAGTTTTCAATTGCCAGGATGCGGGAAGTATCCCAAACATTCTTCAAGCTGGATATAGATTGTCATGTTATAAAATCATAATCAAATGAGACTTTAATAAGTTTATATTCACCAAAAGATGGGGGGCTGGGGGGGTCCAAAAATTGTTCAATAGGACAGACCCGAAGTATGAAGTAATGGCGCCCTGCTCTAATCATTTGGAAGTGAGTGGAAGAAAGCTTATTTCAGATATTTCAGGTCCAAATCCAAGGAAGGCTAAAAAAAATCAAGACAGTTACACAAAAATTCCCTCTCATGTTCAGGTGTCCAAATTAAGTGAAATATAATTATAATATAATGAATATAAGAAAGCATGCCAAAAATCTGTATTATGAATAAACTAAAAGAGCTTTCAAATGTCCAAAGAAAATAGGGTAATACGCTCTGCTAAGTATCTTCAAATATGGTTCACCTTTCATTAATGACTGAAACCTAAAAATCAAGCATCTCTTATTTCGGATTGCATAATAAAGAGCAAACTAGATGAAGATAACAGTATAATCCCCGCCTTGCTATACCCCTGAACAGAAGAAGCAGATGGGCTAAAATAAGAACTGTAGAGTGTACATGGTTGGTAGAGTCTATTTAATTAATGTCTACTGTACAGCTAGCTGGCAAATGCAATTTGCAACGCTGGATCACAGATGACCAAGAATAACTACTAAGTCATTTTCAACTATTATAACCAATTCAATTACTATAACCAATATTAGGTAAAAATTAATTCGCAAGCTTTTATTGCCAATATTGAGAGTTCTAGAATTCAAAATGTAAGTGGGAACCTTTTTTAATGTACACCCTTTAAACGCGTTCCTGATAATAAGAATGCGTTCCTGATTTTAATGTCCTTTTCAAGCTAATTCCGTTTGTTCCACGTTCGTTCTTTTCACAATTGTTCCAATATTTTTCTATGTGTTCATTCTTTTTTTCAGAACAATGGGATCGTTCTTAATATTTCTATTCGTTCTCGTGAAAGAACGATTGTTCCTTAGGAACGACGCCTAGCCTGAATTGTCTTATCACAGTCATAATCAAAAAGACCCAAAATTTATTGACAGTTAATCAGTCAATTTTACATAAATATCTCTGGCAATTTTCAAATGCTCAGAAAAGGCAGACCACATTTTGGAAATGTGTAGGGCTAGGGCTATATTGTGAATATCTTTTATCAATCATATTTGAAAAATTAGATTGTATAAAGTCGTCTGATTATTTGTAAATTAATTCTGGGTCTTTCTGATTAGGACTATATATGTACACTTTACAATGTTATAACATAAACTGCTATACGCTTTGATTAATTTAAGGTTTTCAGTTATCGGCGGGGTTTTTCCATAAATACAATACAAAAATCGTGTCTTGTCAAATTATGCAGTGTGGACTTTATTGTGTTCTTTAATGCCATAGATAAATAACAATACAGATAGAACACTAGATCTTGTCTTTTTAAGATTTAGGGGTTTTTTCGTTCACAATAACTCTGAGGCAGAAGCCCAAAGAAGTTATGTGCATGCTCTCTCTTTGTCTTTCAATTCCTTTGGGCTTCTGCCTGAGGGTTTTTGTGAACAAAAAAACGCCACAAACTTTAAAGAAAACATCTAGCTTGCTCCTTCTGTATTGTTATTATTCCATGTTAAATGCAATCTTATTTAATGCATGCAGTTCATCTTTATTCTTATTCAGTATACTCAGAAAAATGGGTAAACAAATCTTTATTATAAAGGCTAAAGGTAAAAATATACATATTTTACGTATTTTACAAAAAGTACAGATACAATATATGAATAAAATCACATAAATTTGTTCATATTAAATTGTTGATTTGAATTAATGTTCCATTTAGATTTTTAAAACTTTTCCACAGCGTAGATAATCAATAAAATTCTTGTATCAACTTAAAAAAGTGTAATTTCGCCATTTTGTTGTATTGGCACAGTACTGCACGTGTACTTCATACATTTGTTGTTTAAAATATTGTGCCCTGTAATTTCTTTTATGTAACGATATTAATTTCTTTTATGGAACGATTATCTTTTTCCTTTTAATCTTCAATCTTTTAATTTTTTTATTCTTGAACTCTTGGAGTTTATTTGACAACTCCAAACGAAGTACTTTAATCATATCATCCATGGAAGTACACTTTAAATCTTTTATAGGCTTGAAGGACCGAATTAATAATTTTGACGTAAACTTATATTTGTCCTCTTTATATATTCTACTCTCTATTTCCCATCCAATGATGGATTAAATAAGATTCAATTATGACTTCTCTCAGGTAGAAAGTTTAGTTTTTCTCTGTAATAATGATGAGTTGTCTGTATTTCCTGTAGATAATGATGAGTTGTCTGTATTTCCTTTAGATAATGATTAGTTGTCTGTACTTCCTATAGATTATGATGAGTTGTCTGTATTTCCTGTAGATAATGATGAGTTCTCTGTATTTCCAGTAGATAATGATGAGTTGTCTGTATTTCCTGTAGATAATGATGAGTTATCTGTATTTCCTGTAGACTATGAGTTGTCTGTATATCCTGTAGATAATTATGAGTTGTCTGTATTTCCTTTAGATGATGATGTGTTTTCTGTAGTTCCAGTAGATAAAAATGAGTTGTCTGTATTTCCTGTAGACAATGAAGAATTGTCTGTTTTTCCAGTAGATAATGATGAGATGTCTGTATTTCCTGTAGATAATGATTAGTTGTCTGCATTTCCTGTAGATAATGATGAGTTCTCTGTATTTCCAGTAGATAATGATGATGTGTCTGTATTTCCTGTATCTAATGATGAATTGTCTATTTTTCCTGTAGATAAAAATGAGTTGTCTGTATTTCCTGTAGACAATGAAGAATTGTCTGTATTTCCAGTAGATAATGATGAGTTGTCTGCTTGTATTGACACATTTTTAACCAAAGCAGTGGAACCCACTGTCAGAAGACTAATTACGGCCATACTGAAATAATGTGCTACTTATTTAATGTGAATGGGTTTTAATGGAAATAAATTAGAAATTGATCGATACTATACTTTTCAATTTTGATCGTAACAGCAAAGTTCAAACATTTTGTTTAAATTATGAACAGGATTGGAGGGATGCATATATATATCCTCTTTGTTGATAATTTTGAAATTGTAAATTCTGTATTACAAATCAAATTGAAGGGTTTCTTGTTAAAGAGCAATGATCCTTGTCAAGAGCCTGCCTTATAGAGATGGAAGCGTTTGGCATTTTAAATTTCGTTCATTCATCGTTCATGAACGACCCATTTTGTTCGTTTTCAAACCAAAATTGATTTCGTTCTCAAAATTGTTGATTATTTTCAATCTATTTCGTTCATTTTCTCACTGAACAAAAATTTAGTAAAATCCTTCTTTAAGTAACAGAAGATTGTTTTTTTAAAGTTTGTTCGAAAAAATCATTTTTTTCGTAAAAAAGACAAAAAAATTTCTAAATCTTTTGGAAAATCCGTTGGTTCAGTAAAAAATGAGATTAAATGATAATTATATAAATGATTACCTGATGTAGTATGGTAGGTAGGACTCAGTATTGTTAAAAACTAACTTATTCAGAACCAAAACAGTTCCATAAGACAAAGATTCAGTGAGTCCTTAAATAGTTCATGAAAGGTGTTCTAAAAAAATGTGTCTCTGAACCTAGATTCAGTTAGTCCTTAAATAGTACATAAAACTTTTATGGAAAAAGGTGTTCCAAAAAAATGTGTCTCTGAACCTAGATTCAGTGAGTCCTTAAATAGTACATAAAAAGTGTTCCAAAAATGTGTCTCTGAACCTTTATTCCTGTTTTTGGAACAAACTGTATGTTTGTAAAAATTTTTATATTTGACAAGGAACAAACCTATAACTCCCAACACAGAACTGCAGTACTTTCCATCATACAGCTTTAGAACCTGTATTATTAGCAGGAATTTATAAATTATTATGGATTATTTATCATTAATGTTAATTATCATTGATTATTGTGGATTATTTTGGATTATTACATTGGAATTATTTTAGATTATTATGGATTCTTATGGATTATTATGGATTATAAAATGAACTTATTTGGGTTAATATGAACCATTATGGATTATTATGGTATATAACGCTATTGTAGATTATTATGATTATTTTTCGGAATTTATGATCAAAATAATATGGATTATTATGTAATATTGTGGATTATTTTCGATTATTTTTTGATTATTATTGATTCTTGTGGCTGATTATTAATTATTATGGATTATTTTGGATTATTATGGATAACTATGGATAATCATGGTGCTAAATAAATTCCACATTATAAAACACAATGTTTGTATAAAATAAAGATAAATATTAATTCTTTGACATTGTTAAATTTTCCATTGAATTATTTAATGAAAACAATTTAAAGAGACTGTAAGTGCTATTTCAATTACCTTTCCATTTAAAAATATGCCTCCCTTTAGTAAAAGTAAATTCAACCTAAAGTCTGACCGCGTCAACCTTGTTACACCGGCTAGTCCTAATGAGTGTCTGCTTTATATACCTAATGTCCGGGCGATACAGTACAAACTGGGAGTGGAAAGGTTGACCCGGCTCGGAAATTCAAATGTACTACCACTGCCCGTGCCCCGTTCACATTCCCATTTTAAATCTTTGACACTGTATATCCAACGTCCAAAAGCATTCTTCTTCATAAGTATTTTCTTATTTAAAAAGGCAGTTTAACTTCCATGAAATTTCTTAATAGAAAGTTGGCAAGCAGTTCGCAATACGGTGGTGAACATTCTTAGAAAGAAGACGTTCAGTTCTAGTGCATTAGAACTCAATGATTCTTTATTTATATACAGAAACGTTTGTAATTGTTGAAACTTTGATTGATTGCAAAAGCTGTTTTATATTTACAGAATATAAATTTTCACTTTCTGAGTTGCAGTTTATAAATATGCACATTCAAATCTTTGAAAACCACATTGGAATAAATATGACGTAAGTCTAGTTGAGTTCACAAAGTACACTAGCGTACACTCCACATTTGCGGCTTTTAAAACAAGAAGTATGAGATATAGGCACTGAGTTCTCTGTAAAAGAATTTTGCGCCCACAGTCCCTTTAAGTTTGGAAGTAAGAAATGTTTATTTGTTCCTTTAAAATCAGTACTTCTAAACATTTTTAGCTGAAACACGGAAAAAAATAAAAATCATATATAATTTTTTATGTTACATCACCTGGGTCGGAATGGTTGAAAAATGCATGAAAGCAAAAAAGTATGCAAGCCAAAGTAAGGCCACAAACCCTGGGAAAGATATCCAAGAAACGGGGACAGTGATTGCCAAAACTATGGTTAGTAGTGCCCCAACTACAGGCATTACACGGTTGAAGGAAAACCTAAACTTCAAATTTAGCATTATTTTGTTGAGTGGCATGTCCAATTTACAAAGGTATCTTTAAAATCAATGCCTAATTAAGGTTGACGGATACATGCTCATATTTCTAGCTTAAAATGTTATTGCGAAGAATCTTGAGTGTAATACTCCACTCAGTTAACAGAGTAATAGGAGATATCACTCAGTTAACAGAGTAATAGGACATATCACTCAGTAAACAGAGTAATAGGACATATCACTCAGTTAACAGAGTAATAGGACATATCACTCAGTTAACAGAGTAATAGGACATATCACTCAGTAAACAGAGTAATATGACATATCAATCAGTTAATAGTGTAATATGACATATCACTCAGTTAACAGAGTAATATGTCATATCACTCAGTTAACAGAGTAAGAGGACATATCACTCAGTTAACAGAGTAATACATATCACTCAGTTAACAGAATAATAGGACATATCACTCTGTTAACAGAGTAAAAGGACATATAACTCAGTTAATAGAGTAATAGGACATATCACTCAGTAAACAGAGTAATAGGACATATCACTCAGTTATCAGAGTAATAGGACATATCACTCAGTTAACAGAGTAATAGGACATATCATTGAGAGTCACCAAAGGTATTTGGAAGCAAATCTACAAAAACAAGAATCCGCATTCAAGAAAAATTGAAAATGAGCAAATTCACTAATGTTCATAAGCTTTGTAACCTGTCTATTAGAATTCCAGCTAAAATTCTCCCTATGCAACTTACAAGGCCGTTTACACCTAAACATTTTTTAATACGATTTTAATACAAGAAATAATAAAACCAAGCTTTTTTATCCTAAAGCAAAATATTAAAAAATTTCATTCCTGATCTCTTCTAATACTCGAGAAAAAACTGATTTTGAAAAAATGTGAGAAAAGTAAAATAAAAACCAAAAAACTTATTCACCTCCAATTATTGATATTATCTGGTCATCTGAATTCAATCTTAGACTGATGAGACAAAATGGTAAATTTTCAATTTTCAATATTTCTATCTGTATTTCTATAAAGCATAGACAAAGTTTCTAAATTTTGCTTTTCTAATTTTTATGTACACAGTGACCCCAAAAAGTAAGGAATAATGATTTTGTCGTCTAATCCTTCCATATGGTGAAAAACTATGTCGAGTATTCGAAAATCTTGTGTTAACTTTAGCTAACCAATATTGCTTCAGAAACAAAAAAATCATTTAAAACTTTCTGAACTCCCAGTGATTTTTCTTCTCACTTTTCTGAAATCCAAGGTTTACACATAGCCCTAAACCCAGAACTCTATAAGAAACCTATTATAGATAGGTTGCAGATATTCCCGCCCATGCAGGTTGGAACAGCTTTGATGGACCTTGCAAATGGCGATTTTTTTTGCATGACATCAGATCGGGGACTCTTTAAGAAATGATTTATAGCAAATAGATTATTAAGTACAATAGGTGGCAACAGAGAAATGAACCAATTGTACACAACGTCACAAGTGTCAAATATAACAAGGAAAACAAAATTGTCTCACATTAGTTGACATGTTTTCCAAGATTACTAAAAAAGTGTAAAAACAGAGACTAAAGAACACATAAAATTGAACTTATTTTACCGTAAGAAAAGCACTTTATTCTAAAATTATTACTATTATTGATAATTTTGTCGGACACAAAAACTGAATTGACACTTGTGACGACAGAACACAACTGTACTGAGAGTGTACAAATTCTACGTTGCCATCTATTGTACTTAACAATCTATTTGATTTATAGTAAAAACATTGTAGTTAACTATATAAGTATCCATGATCGTTATTTATACGCCTTTTCTCTCTTCAATAGAGTTTAATAGAATGTTAAAAATTATTAATTGTTTCAAGTATTCAAAAAGATTTTCAAAAATTAGACACATTTTTTCGCCAAACGATGGCATTGCACGCACCTCTGACCCTTCAGTAAAAGCAAATTCAACCAAAAGTCTGACCGCGTCAACTTTGTTGCACCGGCTACTCTTATTCAGTGTCGAGCATTATTTACGCAATGTCCGGGTGATACAGTACAAACTGGGACCGGAAAGGTTGACCCGGCTCGGAATGTTAAGATGATTTTAAAGGTTAGCTTTGTAAGAATTCAAAACATTAATTTTAAACTAATAAATTAACCCTATTCCTACTGGGGGGGGGGTCAATTTAACCACCCCCCTGTAGTTTTTTTTGCATAACTCAAAAAGTATTGGTCTGAGGCTAGTGAAATTTTTTGACTTTTGCTACATACCCAAAGCCCTCCCTTTAGGCCTAAAACCGGACTTTAATACTAACTGCCTGTGTCCTCAGGCACACTGCCTGAATGACTGCTTTTTCCTGTAACAAACTAAATCTTTGTCTTGACCCACTTCCATTTGTCAGATTTTGATAAAATTTAGCTTTTTTGAAAGCCTTTGACATAAGAAAACGAATTGCACAAGTTTTGCGAAAAAAATTGCAAATTTATTGCAAACAACCTGTCAAAGGAAATTTGCAAAAATGTATAATTTTTCATTTTTTTGGACAAATTTTTTTGCAAACATTTTTACTATATAACTGGATTTTGCGATAAAAAATTCAATTTTTGCAAATTTGTAAATTTTTTTGCAGATTCTAAAAGTAGAGCACAAGAGCTTTCCAATGATGTATCATTTGTCATATTTAGACCCCCCCAGCATATCCTGGTTTTCAAGTACCCCAGCAGAGATAGGGTTAAGAGTCCGAATTTAATGAATTTGAGACGAGTCTCAAATCCGCCAAAAACCGGTTTCAATTAAGCGCCAGCTTAAATCTTGAAACATTGAATACAATTTTAAGTGGAACCAACCAAATATGAGCTGCGTCTCAAATTTAAGCCGCGGCTCAAATTCTTTAAATCCCGCCTATGGAAAATTCAGGGTAATTTATGTGATTTCTTGACAAAGTCTGCATTAAACATTTTCAAAGTCATCGTTATAAGAATGATTAAATGCTAAAAGGTTACAGGGAAATAATGTCAAAACGGCTGAACCGATCGGGCCCAATTCTTTATTGCAACTCTTATGACCCCAATGAAGGTTTATGGACCGGGCCGTAAAAATAATTTTGCCCGGGAAAGATATTTGTCAATAATTATTTGTAAACATGTGCTAATTTCAATAGAAAAATCAGGCAACATTTGAAAATCATTAAAAATAAAAGTAAAAAGCGCCCTAAAAAAATATATCCTTATGTCAAATTCCTTAATCCTTTCCAATGAGCTAGCAATCCTCCACCAACAGTTAATAGTGCAAACCTAAAAATGTTATAACAAATATAGTCATGTTTTGGTCAGACTTGATGATATGTTATATATTTTCTAAATTCTTTTAGAATAAATTACTTTTCTCTACAGTTCTCTAAAATTAAAAATATATCTGAAAATTTAGTTAGGTTTGGATTGCCTAAGTAGTATCCAATCTTAACAACAACCATCTCAGCCTATGAATATTGATACTCCATGAACTATAAAGAGTTTTTCTATGAATATTGATACTCCATGAACTATAAAGAGTTTTTTTATGAATATTGATACTCCTTGAAAAGTAAATATTTCTAGAATCTTTTTTAAACTCATATTTTATATATATATGCGAAATAGCACACCTGTTTTAAGAGGTTTGGACACTATTGAAATTTTTTTTAAAGAGTGCGTTACACAATGTTGTACAAAAACATCAGATATTTGCCTGTAAGCCTTGTATGTAGAGATGGGCGTTGTTTTTGTTAGTGAACGAAAACAACGTCCATCTCTACTTTTTCATTTAACCGACGATGCTAGGGTGTCCTTGTTGTTTCGGTCCCCTCATGTTTAAAACATTTTATTTATCATTGTGTTGTACTCTCTAGTAATTGATGTTACTGGCGCACCAAAGGAATTGAGTCTTTGCCACAAACTCTGATTTTCTAATCACTATATCTTTGGAACCAAATGTTGCATACCTTAGATATTTCAAACTATGAATTCTGTTAGATCAAGTAATCTGAGTTTGAAATATCAAAGGTTTACAACATCGAGTTCTAAAGATATTGCGGTTTAAATATTTGATTTTGTTCCAAAGACTCAATTCCATTATTGGTAATGTGGATTATTTCAAAGTAACTGAGCTCTGACGACAAACTATGATTTCCTAATCCCTAAATCTTTGCAACCCAGTTTTGTAGATTTCTGGTATTTCAAAGCTTGATTTCTGTTTAATCCAAAATCTAAGTTTAAAATAATAAATAGGTTGATATAGGGATTATAAAATTTAAGTTCGGGGCAAAAACTCAGTCCCTTCGGCGTTTTATCAAAATAAAATTAGCAGAATATAAAAATCATTTGCGGCGTTGACAGAGCTGTATTTTTTGATTGGCTATGATTTCATTTCTTGCAACAAAGGATTGACAAATAAGAAAACGTGTTTTTTTCTCTGGATCATACAATGTAAAAGTTTTACGTTTATGTAACTCTGTTTTGAAAAAAAATGATTTCAAATTTTCATCCAAAATAAAATGGTTATGGGGATTTAGCTTTAAAAGGTTTTTAAATTTTTAAACAGATGCATCAACCTACCTGTAAAACAGATACATTAACCTACGTGTAAAACAGATGCATCAACCTACCTGTAAAACAGATGCATCAACCTACCTGTAAAACAGATGCGTTAACCTACCTGCAAAACAGATGTATTAACCTACCAGCAAAACAGATGCATTAACCTACCTGTAAAACAGATGTATCAATCTACCTGTAAAACAGATGCGTTAACCTACCTGCAAAACAGATGTATTAACCTACCTGCAAAACAGATGCATTAACCTACCTGTAAAACAGATGTATCAACCTACCTGTAAAACAGATGTATTAACCTACCTGCAAAACAGATGTATTAACCTACCTGCAAAACAGATGCATTAACCTACCTGTAAAACAGATGCATTAACCTACCTGTAAAACAGATGCGTTAATCTACCAGCAAAACAGATGTATTAACCTACCTGCAAAACAGATGCATTAACCTACCTGCAAAACAGATGCTTTAACCTACCTGCAAAACAGATGCATTAATCTAACTGAAAAACAGATGTATTAACCTACCTGCACAACAGATGTATTAACCTACCTGCAAAACAGATGCATTAACCTACCTGCAAAACATCTACCTGCAAAACAGATGCATTAACCTACCTGTAAAACAGATGCATTAACCTATCTGTAAAACAGATGCCTTAACCTACCTGCAAAACAGATGTATTAACCTACCTGTAAAACAGATGCGTTAACCTACCTGCAAAACAGATGTATCAACCTACCTGTAAAACAGATGTGTTAACCTACCTGCAAAACAGATGTATTAACCTACCTGAAAACAGATTCATTAACCTACCTGCAAAACAGATAAATTAACCTACCTGCAAAACAGATGCAATAACCTACCTGCAAAACAGATTCATTAACCTACCTGCATAACAGATGCATTAACCTACCTGCAAAACAGATGCATTAACCTACCTGTAAAACAGATTCATTAACCTACCTGCAAAACAGATGTATTAACCTACCTGCAAAACAGATGCATTAACCTACCTGCAAAACAGATGTATCAACCTACCTGTAAAACAGATGCGTTAACCTACCTGCAAAACAGATGTATTAACCTACCTGCAAAACAGATGCATTAACCTACCTGCAAAACAGATTCATTAACCTATCTGCAAAACAGATACATTAACCTACCTGCAAAACAGATGCAATAACCTACCTGCAAAATAGATTCATTAACCTACCTGCATAACAGAAGCATTAACCTACCTGCAAAACAGATTCATTAACCTACCTGCAAAACAGATGCATTAACCTACCTGCAAAACAGATTCATTAACCTACCTGCAAAACAGATGTATTAACCTACCTGCAAAACAGATGCTTTAACCTACCTGCAAAACAGATGTATTAACCTACCTGCAAAACAGATGCATTAACCTACCTGCAAAAAGCAAGGAGGTATATTTCTTTAGTTTTCAACCCAACTTGGAATACATATCTTCCAGACTCGACTATTCTGATGCCATTATTCTGTTAAACGAAGACTTAGAAAAGTTACCAAAAAGTAAAAACATAAGAAAGCTATCATTATAATTAAATTACGAAAATTTAGTTCCACATAGTTTTCTCGTCCTGAAAAGAAAACCTTTAAAAATAACAATAGCGCAATCATGTAAAGGGATTTTTATTTTAAGTGATCTCCTAGTTAAAGAGGCATTGACAACGATATCCTTTCAACCAAGGACTGTTTATCGAGGACAGAAGTCTCAGTGTATATATCTCTTAAAGGCTGTGCAAGTGAAAGTGTACGCTAAAGTACTGTGTGAACTCAACACATATGACGTCATTTGTATTTCTGGAAAATCTAGAATATTCTAAATCCAACGGAATTTCCAAAACTTCGTATGCGAATATTTTTATTCTTGAAGGTCACTTGAAAATTACGCTTACAGTCCCTTTAAACGCTGATCTGATCGTTTTTTGTTTTTTTGTATCTCATATGTTTTTGGTTGACCATTAATATTCAACATTGTTTATTTTATTAAATGTTGCATCAAAAACAACAACAAAAATAAATGTTTATTTTAGACAAATAATTTTTAATTCTTTTAACTGTAAAGGAATTGAGACTTTGCCACAAACTCAAATTTTGTAATCCCTATCTTTGCAACCCTGATTGTGTAAAACTTAGACACTTATACCTTAAACTTTTATCTTACACAATTTAGAGGTATGTTAGATTGTAAAATATAAGGAATAGAAATAAGAGCTTGTTATAAAGACTAAGACTCAATATCTACATCCACAAATGAGTTTGTCAGTACAATATAGGGCTAAGTCCTACTTTTCCACAACAAATTCTATGTAACAGCATAATCCTGCCTTGTTTTTAATAATACTGACTTCCTCTCCTTAGATTCAATCTTTGGCTCTATGTATTCTGTACACAGCAGAATACCTAAAATTAGGGTTTCCAATCGAAATTTCGTTCCTCGGAATTGTTCTCGAATAGCGCGGAATTGTGCGGAATCACGCGGAGTTTATGAGGATCGTAATTGCGGATAAGTAAAATCCACTTTGCATTGGAAACCCTACCTAAAATTAATAGTATTGCATACATCCCAGCCAAATAAAGCAAACAGAGAGGGGTCCTACAAATATAGCAAACAGAGAGGGGTCCTACAAATAAAGAAAACAGAGAGGGATCCTACAAATAAAGCAAACAGAGAGGGGTCCTACAAATAAAGAAAACAGAGAGGGGTCCTACAAATAAATCAAACAGAGAGGGGTCCTACAAATAAAGCAAACAGAGAGGGGTCCTACAAATAAAGCAAACAGAGAGGGGTCCTAAAAATATAGCAAACAGAGAGGGGTCCTACAAATAAAGCACTCAGAGAGGAGTCTTACAAATAAAGCAAACAGAGAAGAGTCCTACAAATAAAGCAAACATAGAGGGGTCCTACAAATAAAGCAAACAGAGAGGGGTCCTACAAATAAAGAAAACAGAGAGGGATCCTACAAATAAAGCAAACAGAGAGGGTTCCTACAAATAAAACAAACAGAGAGTGGTCCTACAAATTAAAATTAAAAAATTACGCGGATAAAGGAATAGAGTCTTTACCACAAACTTAAATTTTCTACTCCCTATATATTTGTCTAATGGTTTAAACCTTTGATATTTGAATTCAAAGTTTGAAATATCAACGACATTGGCTCACAACGACAGGGATTAAGAAATCAGAGATTGCGGAAAAGACTCAAATCCTTTGATTCGATTATTGAAATAAACAATTGTATTTCCGGTGTTTCCGGTGTTTCAAAACTGAAGGAATAATGGTCATGAACCTTATTAAGGGTTATCTTTATAAAGCATGGTTTGCCCATGAATTGGCTTTTTACTAATTAAATTTGCATTTCTTTATAAAAAGCTGGTTTTTTTCGTATTCAACAATTTTCAATTAATCCCACTCCTTTTAAAAATAATAATAAATAATAAAAATAATTTGCTATTTTTTTATAAAGAAATGTCATTTACTCTCAGACGAATTAGAATCAATGGAAATTTAAACCCCCTCGGGTTTAAATTTCCATTGATTCCCTTGGGCTGTCCCCTCGGGTTTATCTTTGAATCCCTCGGGGGTTTAAATTTCCATTGATTCTAATTTGTCTGAGAGTAAATGATACATTTATCATTGAACATTAAAAGTGACTTAATTGTGCATTTCTTAATAATAAAAAGAAATGGAGAAATTATGAGAATTTAAACAATTTCGAGTCAAGAAATACAGTTTTGATTAAAGTTCCAAGGGTACCAATGTTAATCGGACAATGCCATCTTTGCTTAAAGGGTGACATGATATTACGCTTACAGTCCCTTTCAGTTATATATTTACCTGTCAAGGACGTCAATATCTTGAAAATATCTGGATGAAGAGTTAGAACCATTTAATGTAACTGGAGGTGTATTTTCTTAACAAAACATTCACAAGTTGTTTTGCCAATTCCAGCAATAATAACAGGTCAATTTCGGTATATATATATATTTATATCTTATGTATACGTACTACGTAGTTTTAAGTGAGGCCCTCCATGCAAAGTTTTACAACGGTACCCTTAAAACCTTTATCTGATTACCAAGTTTTCTAAATAAAAAACATGCAAATCTCATTCATCTTGATATACTGCTGTGGCGTTGAAATCTTTAAATTACGATTACAACCTCTTTTAGGTTTAAGAAGTTTTTGATGTCCTATTCAACACCTGGGTCTATGATAAAAGTCTAATGAGGTTAACAAAATGTACGTAAAAATTTTATTTTTTAATAAAAGTGTGTTATTTCAAAAATGTTCAGTTCCTTTGCCCCTCGAAAATGTTTTTGTACTAAACCTGTCGTTTAAGCACAAAAACAGTCTAGGAAAGCATAAGTGGAACAAAATACAGTCTAGGAAAGCATAAGTGGAAACAAAATACAGTCTAGGAAAGCATAAGTGGAAACAAAATACAGTCTAGGAAAGCATAAGTGGAACAAAACAGTCTAGGAAGGCATAAGTGGAACAAAATAAAGTCTAGGAAAGCATAAGTGGAACAAAATACAGCCTAGGAAAGCATAAGTGGAACAAAATACAGTCTAGGAAAGCATTAGTGGAACAAAATACAGTCTAGGAAAGCATAAGTGGAACAAAATACAGTCTAGGAAAGCATAAGTGGAACAAAATATAGTCTAGGAAAGCATTAGTGGAACAAAATACCCATGTCCAGAGAAATACCCCCTCTTTTACCTGGGTTTATAATAAAAGTCTGAAGAGGTGAAAATACAGCAGCTCCGAATCCAAATCCAGCCGCTATTATACCTGTAACTAAACCCTTCCTAAAAGAAAAGTACTCTTGAAGGAGGCTATGGGGGTTCAACCCCCGCTCCCCTTGGACCAACAGCAGCTTGAATCTGCTGAAAACCACGTGCGGGTAGGGCTGAAGTATCATAGGACGGATGTAATACAACATAAATAGGCCTTTAAACGAGTAATCATGTTTAAAGAGTTTAAGGTCGTCCATTTTTTATAACCCTGTGAGCGTAATTTTAAAGGGAGTGACCGGCTATGTAAGGTAATTGAACTGAGTATGCAGTGTTGCGGACAACTTCTTTCGATTCATTTGAGACATAATAAACTTTTTAAAGATATGTAAATCCTGAGCGTAAATTCGACGTTCAAAACTTCTACTTTGGGAGTAGATACGTTTTCAGAATTATTTTTTTTTCTCAATTATTAAATACATAGCCGGTCACTCCCTTTAAGTGACATATCATTTAAAGAGGTAAATTCACGATTCACAACGGTACCCTTTAAACCTTTGAGTGTTTGACAATTGCAAGCGTTTCTTGGGATAAATCAGAAAACAATCTGTCATCCTTGATGAGTAAAGGCTGAGTAAGTACCGTTGTGAATCAGGAAAGCCCCTTTTTAAATGCAAGGTCACTTGAAATTACGCTTACAGTCCCTTTAAGTCTATTAGGCAAAACTAAATAATTATTTTGTCGCATGTATAACTATCATTCTGAACAGTATCGAGTCGTAAAATAGATTTAATTCTGTGCCTGAAATAGTATTTTGTGTAGTTTCACTTTCAATTCTGTTTCTAAAAAATGGTGTATACTATGTTTATTTTCTGTAGATGTTGAGTGAGATTCACTTGTGCAGGATGATCAGGGAGTAAGGAATAGAAGGGAGATTTAACTGACGCGGTTCGCCCTACCATATGATTAAACATGCTTGGCAGACGGGTACTCCATTCGAAAAGATGTCTGATGTACATTTACTGCGTACACAATAACATATTCTGAATATTTAATATACAAATGGAGTACCCGTCTGCAAAGCATGTATAATCATATGGTAGGGCGAGCCGCGTCAGTTATATCTCCCTTCTATTCCTTACTCCCTGTTTGATATTCTTAATCTTCTACCTTTGGCACCAGCCTATCTGTGAGATTAGACTATGATTCCTACATTCTGTTTTTGGGTTACCCACAATTCATTCAACAGTAGACACCCTCTTTAGATTCAAAATACACAAAATTACACTTATTTAAGTAAACGCATAGTTATCAAAAGTTACATATCGAACTGCTGAATATCATCAATTGTGGAATTTTTAGGACATTTAATAAAATTGATTTATTTTTCTTTATTCATCTAAATAAAGAAAAGCAAAATCTTAATGGGCTCGAAAGATTTACAAAAAAGTGTCTCTACTTTTTTTAAACGGTATGAAAGAAAACTGATGAAGGATGGTGCAAGAAGGATTTGATAATTTACATTAAAAAAGTGCCCAATAGTTTCACCCTTAATAACATACAAATCTTTTAACCTATTTTTACCTGTCTGGAAACCAAGTCACTGGAATGAGTTGGCTTGGAAGTACAATCAAATAGAAAACCACGGCGGACAAAACCCCATAGCTAAAATTATTTTGAAAGTTATTTATTGTGATAAATTGTATTTGCTCCTGAATCTTAAAGTATATATAAATTAAAGGGACTGTAAGCGTAATCTCAAGTGACCCTCCATCCTTTATCTCACCAATAATGTTTTTCTTAGGTTTAAAATTCCGATAATTCCTTTATGTTTTCTTGCAGTAGAAATGCGCAAGTCACTTTTGAAAATAAAATTTGGAAAATTAGAAGTATTTACATCTAATTTATACTTTATCAGACAAAGCTCTATTTCCATTTGCTCTATGGCCATTTACTCTAGTTCCATTTGCTCTGTAGCTCATAGATCACGACGTTTGCTCTTTATGTCATCTGCTTTATACGTCAATTGATCTATGACTTCACGTCATTTGTTCTAAAAACATTTTTATGCCTGTCTTGGTCCAATTGCTCTACTCAACATTTGCTCTCTGAGTAAACACGCCATTTGTTCTATAAACGTACATTTATTTTACAAATATCTAATCATATTAAAACTATATTGCTATGTCTAAGATGCATAAAACATGTTACAATTCTTACAGTTTCATTATTCCGCCAACTTCCTGGAGATAGTTTTGTTTGTCTGGTATGTATGCATATCGAGATCCCAAGTTAAATATTAACATTTCCTTGCTAGCAGAACCAGGAGCAAGAGGATCTACAACATTTATCCTAGCGTCATGAACTTTTTGATGCACCAGACCTTCTTCTCTTAGAAAACCATCACATATGCACGATAGAGGTGCATTAGGTTTTTTACCCCTCTTAATATTGAGCAGTCGAATTGTCATGATGAACTTTGAAGAACTGATTAACACTCCAAGTTTTAATAATTTGCGAATTTTCCAAAAAAAAATTCCCGCATATCGAATTCCAATAAAATTTATCATATAGTGTATTTTTAGGTTATAGAGCAAATGCCATATTTGTCATGGAGCAAATGAGCTATAGAGCATAAGGAATATAGAGCAAATGACGTATAGAGAAAATGACTTGATAGAGCAAATAAAACTAGAGAAAATGGCCATAGAGCAATCGGGCATTGTTATCTTTACATGAATGGTCACAAGAAATTACATTTACAGTCCCTTTTAGCTACATTGCTACAGTTAAAAACTAACAACTTCAAAGACAAAATATTTCAAGAAAAAATAATTGAGTTCAATTTAAATTTTTTTACTTTGCTCATTTTATTCTTACGTGAATGTAAAAGCAGGCAATGAGTATGCGATTGTGAAGTAACTGAGAAGAGGAGCCAGACAGTATAAAATAACTCCGATCACCAGTGATACTCTGTACCCAAGCCAAGGTATGATCACGTTCCCAGCTGAAAAATACACCGTTTTCAAAATGCTTACTCATCACACTCATCATACTCATCATGAGAGAGTATGCATGCTCACCAATGTTATGCATAGTGAGAATACATTTACTCTCATCTAATTATAGCTACAATGAGTAAGTATGTTTAAAATAGTGTTGATTCTTAGTAATATATTTTATAATATCCCATTTGAGGCCAAATTTAAGGAATTTAAACCGCGTCTAGAACATGAGACGCGGTTCAAACATGGTTGGTTCAGTTTGAATTTTAATAAGTTTTTCAAGATTTGTAACTGGTTATTGGTGGTTTAGCGACGCGGTTCAAATTCTTTAATTTGGCCTTTGATCCATTAAAAATTTAAGTTTAAAAGTTTTCAAAAATGGATGTAAAGATGCAATTGTGTTGAATAAAGGTTACACCTTGATCTATTTTGCCTAATTTTCGACATTTCTATACTGAAAAAATAGTTTATCATAAAATATTTTTCATCAAGGGTTGAAGATATATCCTTTGTTCTGACTTCATAGAGTTCACTTAAAAATTTCTTAGCACTTTTAAGTAAGTCCAGTTTATTGAGAGAATAATTACTTCTTCTAAACAAAGGAAACAATCATATGAAACCTCAAATTCTACCATATTTGTTGAATCTGACATTACCTAATAGAGATCCAAATCCTTGAGTCATGCCTCCTGCTGCCAACACTATTCCAAGGTCTTCGTTTGTTATTTCACTATTATTCTTAATTGTAATTACAAGTAGGGTTTCTAACACCAGTGAACTCAGTTGCATGATAACAAAATCCTTGGCATAGCAACCAAATCTTATGGACAGGGCAAAATATGTGGCATTGCTGTGATTTCTGTGGCATAGAGACAATATATGTGGCATGTAGGCAAAATATCTGTCATTGCAGCTGAATCTTGGCACGCTGGCCAAATCTGTGACATATGGTGCAGCCAAGTCTGTGGCACAACGGCCAAATCAGCCAAGTGCGTGGCACAGCAGCCAGGGTTTGTCCAACTTTACTTTATATATTCATTGTTGATCAGACTACAACTTGAAGGTGCTTTGTGAATCGGATCTGCCACTTATAGTAAAGGAACTGTTACTTAAAATTACGCTTAACGTTCCTTTAAAAAGAAGCTTTTTGAACATTTAAAAAAAAGTACCTTTGACAAGTTTTTTTATAATTGTACATAGCTTCAGGCTTAAAGCTGTTCTTTAATACAATTTGCCTGAGTCCTCATGCATGCTACTATTTGGTCTTATGTTATCTATGGTAAACTAAATCTTTATGAAGACCCACTTCCAGTCATTGGATTTTAGCATTTTATAGCCCTTTGAGAAGCCTTTGCCAAACTCAAGCAGATTGCATAAGTTTTGCAAATAAATTTTGCACATTTTTTTGCATAGCAGTTTTATAAGTAAATTTTCTGAATTTAAGATTTCTCTAAAAAATATTTTGGGTTTGAAAATTTTGCAAACATATTTGAAAATTTAATTCAAATTTAAGCTAAAGAATTTTCAAAAATTAATAATTTAATATTCTATATGTCGTGTATTTTTTTGTTCTCCAAATTTGTCCATTGCTAATGGTTTTTACAATAAATAAAGGCTAAAATAACGTGTAACTGAGTTAGTTAAGTAAAACCAAATCTTCTACGCGGTCTTAAAATATTGTGCATAACTTTCATAGTTGTCTTAATATTTGTGCAAGTTACCTGTTTCATATATGATGCAAAATAAGGAGCCATATTACCGATTGTCCCACAGAAAGAGCCAGCTGTCAGCATTAGAAGAAATCCTGAACTCAATTAAATCCTGTTTACGTAAATGAATCAAGCTATGTGTGTATTTGGGTTTTTAAACATCTTTCCAAGATTTCAAAACTGAAATCTTATAACGTTAGATGTTTTCTTGTATTAAAATTTGCAACATTGTTATAAAAAAAGGGGAAATCGATCCAAAAACGATCGTTTAAGTACATTCTTTTTGTTTTTCTTTTAGATTGTTTTTAGTTCGTTTTTTTTTTGTACGAACCTCCGAGGACAGAGAGGACTCCGCGTATCTGGTGAAACTTCATCAACATTTTCTCTGAAAATCTTAAACGTAAAGAAATAAAAAGTAGAGGTAAAAACTAAAAAGTTTACATTTAACTTCCTAACTCTGGAAACTATGTATCAACTATTGACCCTTTTAGTTTTAGAGTCGGGGAAACAAATCATCAGCATTGGAGACCTCCTTTCATAGGAGACCTCCATGGACATCTCGCTAGAGACCCCAAGATTCTCGTTGGAGACCTCTGGATTTTCTTTGGGGAACCCAATAAATTCATTGGAGACCCCCAGATTTTTATTGGAGACCCAAAGATTTTCCTTGGATACCCCAAAACTTGTCAATGGAGACAACAGATTTTCGATGGATACCCAATAAAAAATGGGGATTTAAAATGAAAAGTTTGGCGTCTGGAATGAAAATATTGGGGTCTGATACGAAATATTTGGGACTCCATTGGAAATATTCAGTTCTCCATGTCTCCATTGGGTTTTCTAATGATAATTATGGGTTAAAACAAAAAAAATTTGTAATCTCCAATGAAAATATTGGGGTCTTCAATAAAATTCGGGGGGTTTCCAATGAACATTTGGGGGTCATGAATGCATTTATTGAGATCTCCAACGAAAATATGATTTCTTAATTGACAAGTTTGGGTGATTCAATAAAACTCTTGGGTTCTCCCATCAAATTTTGGGGTCTCCAATGAATATTTAGGGCCTCCAATGAAAATCTAGGGTCTCATATTAATATCTGGGTGTTCTCCAATGAAAATCCGGGGTCTCCAATGTTAATATTGGCGTCTCAAATGAATTGCTTGGGGAACCCCAATGCAAATCGGGGGGTCTCCATTAACGAAACGTTTACGTGGGTCTCCAATGAGAGGGGGTCTCTAACAGTACTCCGACGTTGAAGATCTGGGGTCCTGGATAAAATGTCCAAAAATTAAAAATGCTTCTAAGATTGTTGGGTTATGGGTCACGGAAATATATACAATGTGTACTGTTAAATCACTTTTAAACTTTTAAACATAAACAGTCATTTTTTTCACTAATGTATAAAAGAGACAATTCTTTGACTTTACAATTCATAATAATGTATAATTCAAAATCAGTTATTTTGTGAAACTCTTAATGAAGTTACTTGTTGCACACATTTACATTGTTGACATTCTTAAATTGAATATTTTATATATTTGAAGGTACGTATACAAATAGAATTCATGACAAACTCAAATGTATTAAGAGAGAGTACACCTTTAAAAATGAAAAGGGATGTATCGTTTCCATTTTTTTAAAAATGATAGTTTCGTTTTTAAAACGATCGTCTTTGATATCGTTTTTGTAAACAACCCATTTTTAACGACCGTAAACAACGGACCATTTAACGATTGTTAAAAACCTTTTTAAGAAAAAATACAATTTTAGGCCTGGAAGTCCGATTCCGCGCCCAACAAACAGTATTTCTTGCGATGAAAAAATACCATTTATGAAAACATTAAACAACCTTATCTTCCTAAACAAAATTTTTAATTAATTGTCATAAAATTCTGATTCATTAGCGAATTTTTTTTCAAAAACTATCGTTTTCAAAGTCGATTAACAACCTTATTTACCACGGGTAGCCCTAGTACATTTGAATTTCTGAGCCGGGTCAGTTTGTACTGTACATAACTCTATGGACAGGACTAGCCGGTGCAACAAGGTTGACGCGGTCAGACTTTATGCTTCATATAGGCTGAATTTACTTTTACTAAAGGGGTAGAGGTGCGTGTTATGGTTAAAAAAGAAGCTTGTAAATCCTTTTCTTACAGTCTCTACTCGCTGAACGCAAACTGGAGAATAAAGTATCCTCAATGTGAGAACCGTGAAAATGCATTTTCTGATATTTAAAAATGAATTTTTAAATAACAACTTATTCAATCAATGATAATGAGACGACCCTGACACAGGTTTACTGCAATTCTGTATGCATTGTATGCATAATTTCTTGATTTAATTATGTTTATTATGTAAGAATATTTGGAAATTCAGGTTTTATTGTTATTTTGTCTTAGATAACTTACCTTGACGGAATTGACAGTACATTTCAATTCTAATGCAAAAACACGTATGTTGTTGTTACGTTGTGTATATAATAAAAACATTGAAAAAATTTACTTTTTGATGGAAGTGCATAAAAAGTTTCAACTAGGGTTTCCAATTGCACAATAATAACGCAAAACTTGCTCTGTCGCTGGCTTAATTATCTGTTTAAAGGAGTTGAGTCTTTGCAACTAACTCGAATAGTCTAATCCCTATATCTGTCCAACCTTAGACATTTCAAACTTAGATCATTTGATCTAACAGAATTTATAGTTTGAAATATTTAAGGTTTACGGCATTGGATGGCAGAGATATTAGGATTAAAACATCAGAGTTTGTGGAAAAAAAACTTAATTCCTTTAAAATTCATCTTGTTGCATTACAAGAGATCACATTGGTTGGACAAGAACTATTTTCTGTTGAATTATGGATATCTAGAGAATAATAAACATTTTCCTCATCATTGTGCTAAAACTTTTCGCGTGTGTAGCTTTTTTTCAACGGCTAATTTTTTTATAATTAAAGGGAGTGTTCGCAAAAAATAAAAGGGGGTTTAGGGTTACGCCGAAAAATAACCGCGTTTGATCTCTACTATGCTTACTTCTATCTGTTGCGTCCATAAAGAGAAAATTGTAAAAAAAAACGACTCATTACGAAGAAGAAGGTAGCGTCCATACAAATTCAGAAAGTTGCAACATTCAACTGGGATCGTAAAATAATCAATTTAATTCCAAACAAATCATTATGATATTTTTCATCGATAATTTTTGACGTATTCGTATTTCATATAAAGTTGATATTTCATAATATTAGTTATTTTTTATGATCTGAGCTGAAAACTTTTGAATGGGATATCCTTAATCCTGATCGGATAATTAATCGGGAGATTAAAAATGCGAGGAGAACAAGCCATGTTTTAATCTCGAGATTAAGAAAAAGAGTGGATTAAGCATTAATCCCGATATCCACCATTCTAAAGTTTTCAGCTCGGATATAGTTACTTTTGAAAACATTTATTCCTCTTTCAAGGATTTTTGATTATGAAGACGGCATTTTCATATTTTCCCAGGGGGCAATATAATTCCTTTTTCAATCCCATTTGGGATTGACAAATTTGAAAGAAATGGGGGCAAATACTTTTATTGGGGGCAAATTTTTTTTATATGATAATTAAAAATAAAATTGGGGGCATTTTTTTTAAAAATTGGGGGCATTTTTTAAAAAAATTGGGGGCAATTGGGCAAATGTGTTAGTGGAATTTGAAAAAAAAATTTCAACTGGGGGCATTTTTTTAAAAAATTGGGGGCATTTTATTTATATATGAAATATTCAGAATATGTTATTGTATACGCAGTAAATGTACATCAGACAAATATATCTTAATTCAAATTAAGTACCGTCTGCAAAGCATGTATAATCATATGGTAGGGCGAACCGCGTCAGTTATATCTATCTTCCATATTCCTTACTCCCTGGTTTAGAGGCTTTTCAAATAAAATGTCATTGCATCTAATTAACAGTTTTATTATTCGGCAAGTTTTGGGAAATACAAAAACGTATAAACTGTTAAGTAAACTTATCTCGAAAAATTCATTCCCCATAGGTCTTTGAACTGTTAAATGTTAAATGTTAAAGGGTATTTGAACTGTTTATTAGGATATCTACGCGATAGACCTAATGATCGGACTGCCTGGTTAGAGTAGTTTAAAGAGACTGTAAGCGTAATTTCAAGTTTAAAGGGACTGTAAGCGTAATTTCAAGTTTAAAGGGACATTCAGCATAATTTCAAGTTTAAAAGGACTGTAAGCGTAATTTCAAGTTTAAAGGGACTGTAAGCGTGATTTCAAGTTTAAAGGGACTGTAAGCGTAATTTCAAGTTTAAAGGGACTGTAAGAGTAATTTCAAGTGACCCTCAAAGAAAAAGAAAAGATAACAATGTCCGATTAACAACGGTCCTCTTGAAACCTTTGTCTGATTAATATAAACTAGATATCCATGTTTCAGTTTCTTTAAACTGATTATTTTCATTTGAAAATAATTAACATAGAAATTATTAAATTAAATACTTTTCAAGTCAAAAAAAACGATAGTATCTTCAACATTCTTGATCATATTAAGGTTTTAATGGTATCATTGTAAATCGGGCATTGTCATCTTTGCAGTGGGGGTCACTTGAAACTATACGCTTTCAGATCCTACTGTTTAATTATTTGAAATATAATTAGTAAATAAGCTGTAAGGTTTAAACATCCTTTTACTGTTGTCCAGTCGAATGGTGTCGACGTTTATAAGTGAATGAAAAGATGGTATTTTCAATACATATTTAATTTTTATTGCTTAATGTAAAACATCTTTATGGGTGATTAATGGGACTATGGTATAACATTTTAGCCTTTAATCCCGACCAATAATAGTTCTATCTGATGTCCCTGTCTCAAGAAATTGAAATATATAACGCTGTGTTTTACAAATCATATATTCTTCACAGGCATCCGTAGTACATTTGAATTTCCGAGCCGGGTCAACCTTTCCGGTCCCAGTTTGTACTGTATCGCCCGGACATTAGGTAAATAAAGAAGACACTCAATAGGACTAGATGGTGCAACAAGGGTGACGCGGTCAGACTATAGGTTAAATTTACTTTTACTAAAGGATCAGAGGTGCATGTCTTAGCCCTCCCTAAATATATAAATATGAATCATTTATTGGTTAAAACCCATTACGCAACGGCAATGTCTGTTTTTCTTCTTTTAAAACAATATTTTCAAGAAGAATTCAAAAATACATTAAAGAAACATCTTCTTTAATGTTATTTTTAAAGATAATTTATTTGTGGGTATGTATAACTTTTTTAACTCTATCTTTTGTAAATATGTTTTAATTTAGCTCTTCAATTAGTGCAGTGGTAATAAATAATAAATAGATAATAAAATTCCTAATAAAATAATAAAACTTTTGA